TCCGAAAATGGAAACGTCGAGGGATTGCTCCCAAACCAATGATGCCAGGGAGGAAAGCTATTGCTAGATGTCTTTGTCTATCATTCTAAGCTTCATATGAAAGGGTTTAAAAGTTTACAAATGGGGGAGTGGGTGGAATTTACTTTTTTCAACTCTCCCAAAGGCCCAAAAGTGCTTTTGGTAACAGGCCCTGATGGAAAGTCCTGTGAGCGAAAAAAATCAAAGAGGGACAGATGTTATCACTGTGGTGATCCAGGCACCACGCAAAGGCGTGAGAACTTTTGCCGCAATCCAAAAGGTACTGTTATTGCTGGAATATCGACCACATAATGATTAATTGTCCTGAAAGATCAAAATAAAAAAGAGATATTGCTGTTATCACTAGTTGTACGTAAGTTGTGGTTAAAAGTTAAATTGTTTATACTGTTATGGTTATTGTGTTATTCTTGTTCTTAAAAATAAAAATCCATTTTGTCAATTTATATTTTGACTATTCTATATTTACACAATTCTGACTAGGGTTGGTTTTGGCGGATAAACAGCACGGAGGTGTTTGACACCTGGCGACAAAGCAGTTACACAATGCATGTTGGTTATTACACGCTGAATCAATTGTATTAAGCAAGGGATAATACAAGGCAAAAACAATAGAGTAGAAAGACCACATAACAAGGCAAACAAAATTCGCTTAACCCATGGAGTTCCAGGGAGCCAGGAAAAGGGATCAAACTCCCAGCCCTTCCATCTTTGGACTGGGACGTGAGCCAGTTTCCTGATTCTGGAAGTTATTTACTTAACAACTTGGCCATTATCATCAATCTTCAAACAACAGCTCGAATCATTAAATTTACCAAAAACACCTCCTTCTTCAGCTAGTAGGTAGTTGAGAACCATGCGGTGTTGCAAAATTGCTGTTCGCATTTGGGTGGCCTGATCTACCAATAGATCTAGTGCACGGGCGGTTTCATTGGTAATAATTTCTAAAACTGCTTGTAGTCGAATAACACGATTCAAATTATAAATGGGTTCTCGAGCACCACCAATTGGTTCACTGGGGTTCCAGGTGGCAGGTCCATAATGTTGGATAATTTGTTGTGGGTGCCAGTCATCTTTTCCCCACGTTTGGCTACCATCACCCTCTATAGCAGTATTAATAGATGGCTTATTTCGTACAAGATCATCACACAACTTGACACCCAAAACTTTGTCATCATTTCTGGAGAGCAGGAAAAACAAGGGACGGATCAATCCCACATAACACACTCCAGTCCAATGATTTGTGTGCAGTCTGACCACACATTCAGTAGTGACCTTTTAAAGCTCGGTGTCCATTTTTAAATGGAGTAGACCAGGTTTTGGTAGGATTGTTGCCTTTTGATTAAAAATACATTGATTTTGGTCCAAAGGGATCGCCATTTAATTACGATTGATTTGACCCATTATTTTCGACACCATTTACATCGCCAGGCACATGAAGGGCTATGCCAAGTACAATTAATTCCTCTTTCGTCTCCAAAGATAGTATTGTTGGTTGAAGACCAAAAGTGCGAAAACCCCTGTCCTAGTAAGGACTGATTATACCATCCCTATTGGACCAAATGGTCGTAGTTGACGCTACGATAGATCCAGGTACAATTACTTATTCCAAGAAATTTTCCTCCCACGGGTTGGATTTGACTTAAATGACCCTGAGCAAGGTATCGAATTGGCCATGGAGGAGATATTTCTTCTTCCCAATAGGTGTTATTTTTCACTTCACAATAGTTACTTACTAGCCATTCAGGAGGAACTGGGACTGAGGTTCACGGCCAGCTTTCCAGACCAAGTGGTCCTCCACACACTCAACAATTAGTAAAACTGAACGTGTGGGCCACAGAGTAGCCTAGGGTCACAAACTCATTTTCCCATTCTCAGTTAATACTTAGAGAGTTGGCATCTCCCCATGGACCAAGCGGAAAGAAAATGGTCGCCCAAACAAGTTCCTGCGATAGTAAGCAATACATCCTGAACATATCAATAAAGCAATAAAGTTCAATATAATACAGAGGATCAAGATCCACATGAGATTTTTCTGTTGCTCTTCAGGATGCGATCTGTCGAGGTGTTTACCTGCAAAAGAGAAAAGAAAACATTCTCTGTTTCTCAGAAGGAAGGGATGATCCATCGTGTGTTAATTTTCTGTTCTTTTCCATGAGCATCTTTTGCTTTCCAGGTATATTTATTCACTGGAGTTTCCAGGATCAGTGGCACGCTTCCTACGGTAGGGAGCTCCACCAACACTGGTTGTCCCAGAAAGTGAGAAGGGTTTCTGGGGTGATCGGGACCTTTGAGAGCTGGGAGTATGATGGGTGGTTTTGGCCAAAAAGCCATAATTTTTGGACATTTGTTCGTTCCCCACTGGTCATTTACGCTGCTGACGTTGTTCCACAAACGGTATTCCCACCCAGACTCATGTGGTTTTAGGAAGCTTTTGAGAAGGCCGTTGGTTCTTTCCACTATCCCGTTTACCTGGGGATAGTAAGAGGTGTGGAAAACCCACGCAATTCCCTCCTTGGTTGCCCACTCCTGGACAGCTTTAGCAATCAAGCGGGAACCATTGTCTGATTGAATCAGCTGTGGCTTGGGAAAGGTGCTAAACCAGCATCTTAAAGCGGTTCCTGCCTTTTCCCCAGTAGTTCGAGGGAATGCTTTTGCTTGGACTAGTCCTGATATCACTTTGACCGTTTAAGGCTGGGCCGGCACTTACAG